CTTGATTGCTTGGTTGGTTGGTTGGTTGGTTGCTTGATTGCTTGATTGCTTGATTGCTTGGTTGGTTGGTTGGTTGATTGCTTGGTTGCTTGGTTGGTTGGTTGGTTGGTTGCTTGATTGCTTGATTACTTGGTTGGTTGGTTGGTTGCTTGATTGCTTGGTTGGTTGCTTGCTTGGTTGCTTGATTGCTTGGTTGGTTGGTTGGTTGGTTGCTTGGTTGCTTGGTTGCTTGGTTGCTTGGTTGCTTGGTTGGTTGCTTGGTTGCTTGGTTGCTTGGTTGCTTGGTTGGTTGATTGGTTGATTGCTTGATTGCTTGGTTGGTTGGTTGGTTGCTTGATTGCTTGGTTGCTTGCTTGGTTGGTTGCTTGGTTGCTTGGTTGGTTAATAGAGGGGATTCCTCCCGGTCGTGTAGTTTCCAGCAATGGGTATATGCTTCCTGGCACCGACTCAAGAAGGACCTTCATCGACGGTGCGGACATTAATCGGTATACCGGTGCCCACTTCTTCGCTTGGTTCCCACGCTTCGTCGTCTCCGAGGAGAAGATGGACATGTTGATCGCACCGATGGTGAAGACCGGTGCAGAGCCTTTGGGCTCCATGGGACAGGAAGCTGAAGGGAGAAGGGCGAGAAGGGCTTGGGAGCGGCTGAGTGGAAGCTTTCGAAAACAGTCCTCCTTAGCGCTTTGGTTGGGCAGATGAAGTACTCCACTAGTTTGTAGAGGATTTGGATCATATATGGGCAGCTCAGAGAGATCAAGGAGCACTTTCCTTATGTTTTTATCGCTCTTCTTCCCCTTCTTTCAAGCAACACGTCCAGAAATCCCAAGACGGACCTGGTTCCCCCGCCCTTCCTCTCCATCCAAAGCAATACGTCAGGGCCAAGCCACGAACCTGCCACCCAAAGGTCCACAGTGCTCCACCGCCGCAGGACATGCCCTTGGCGTGCTTGTCGAAGATGCCGCGTCAGCCCTTCGACTACTTCTCCCAGCTCTTCGCACAGGCGACCAACCCGCCGATTGACCCCATCCGTGAGGCCAACGTCATGCCGCCCGGCCGATGTTTGGCCCGGACTGGGGTGGTGGTTTAGGGTTCTGCTGGTGGTCGGTGAGGCCAAGCCGGTTCTGCTGGGTGCCAAGTCGGTGTTTTTGGAGGTTCCTGCGCAGTGCATGGAGAGGATCCACTCACCTCCACATTGACAGAGTGAGTTCCAAGTCTGCCCATTGCCGAAGTGCGAGAGGGAGTCCTCCCAATATTTTTAGAGCATCATGAATCATCATAAATCCATATAAATCCTACGCTGAAGCTGTTTTTTTGGTTCCTCCACGCTCACAGCCAACAACTTGTTACTTGATGTATTTCTTCCAAGAAGAACGGACATGGACTCAGATGCCGAGACCAGCCAACATTTGCTTCTGAATCCGTCCCACCGGGTTAACCTGCCCAAGCGCAGACCCATAACTTTGGAGCGGACGGTTCGGACTGATCGGATTTGATCGGACTCCTCTCCTCTCTGCTCAGGTCCCTCATGTGTCCCATCGGCCCGGAGCGCAGCCTCCTGGAGCCCTCGCCCGACGCCTGCCGCCGGGTCTTCCTGGACTCGCCCATCCTGTGCCCGGAGGGACGTGAGGGAGGGACGGTGACATCCAGTGGAGGAGTGAAATGGACAATTCTTTGCAGCTCAAGATGCAGACAAAAGACCTAAGACATGTAGTAGGGCCATGGATTTTTCGTGGCCTGCTTGATTGATTCGTGTTGAAAAACCTGTCACTCTGCATGTGGGCACAAGTTGCCTATAGGGATACAGTATAAAGTTAAGTAGGATCCCTTCATTTTCGGTTGTTGTGTGGTGATTGGGCCTTGAGGGACGTGCCAGGATTTCGCCAGTTCTGGTGTGACGGGCGGTCACCCGCTGCCGGATCGACTGGAACTACAGAAATCCCAAGCCAGGACCGGTCCTCCACACCATCGTGGGGTTAGAAGCCACCAAAAGAGACCTGGTTCACGTGGCTTAAGTCCGGCTGGTGGACTTGGCCGACAGGTGCCCTCGGCGCTACAACGCCATCTTCGGATTGGAGGCGGGGGGAGGCGTCCACGGAATTCACGTTATTTTTTTTCCCGTCCGTCAGAGGAGGCCTTCCTTTTTTCCATAACTATCTCAATGTTGGTCTGTCGGAGAACAGGGAGAACAGGAAAGATCCCGTCACGCCTGTCACACCTGTTCAAGTTTCATCAAATCCATACAGATCTGTCATCCTGTCTTCCCGTGCAGCCACCTTGCAATCAATACCGTCCAGTTCGACGAAGCAGGCGACTTTTTTAATGATACGGCGACCACCGAGATGGACTGGAATTTCTATGAAGTGTATGAATTGCTAAGAAGATCAAAGATGATTCAGGGACCTCCAGTTCTTCAGTTCCAACAGCTCATACCATGTGTACTTCTTGGCTTTTGACTTCGAAGATTTTGTCTTTCGGAAAAACTTCCAGGGTGTTTGGCGACCGACCAGTCACAAAGCGTTTTCTGAGGCGGATGGCTTCCCTACGGTGGTGCTAGCGGCTTGGAGTTGCTAGTGGGCGGCCAGTGTTTTGGGCAACGCTCGCAGTGGTTTCGCTCAAGACACAAAAAAACTGAAGGACAAGCTCGACTCATAGAGATGGTTCAACAATCACAGGGTGAATTACAGGATACTAGGGTTTCATTCATTTTCATTTTCATTTTCATTTTCATTTTCATTTTCATTTTCATTTTCAT